TTGCTGATAAGTGCCTTCAAAGGACATGCTCTTAGATTTTTCTGAGCGTTCCAGTTTTTTGACAATTTTTTTCCGAAATCCAGAGTTTGAGGGTGTCTCCTATTTGAATTTTTATCTCTGGAATTTCTTGACGTCGAAGAGAAGCGAGCATGTGAATAGAAAGTAAATGAAATTCTTTTAGTAGTATTTTTTGATTTTTTGAAGTCAATATCTTTACATTGAGAGCGTTACGAATTTTCCAAAATTAAAGGGACAGAACTTTCGGAACAACCTAATATAATAGATTTCCAGTTTGTGAGAAGTGGCATTGACGAGGGCATGATCATATGTGTTTCACCATTTGTCTTTTTTTCAGCGACCAATCAAAATACGGCGACGTTTATATGAATTTTATACGGCACCTATCACTACATTCTGGGCATGGACTATCTCTTTCTGCTTATTTCTCACTGCCTTCACCTATGTCCTTCTTGTTCGAACACCAAAAAATCCTACCTGGCTGGAATGGGTTTTATTCGCTTATGTGATTGCCTTTGGAATGGAACATTTTCGGAAGGTAGATTTTTCTAGTCTTTACGATTATACTCTCATTTTTGCAATTTTTTGTGGCACATTCTGCAAGCATAAGTTGCGAATTAGTAGTTTACTCTTTAGGTTCTCTGTAATGTTAGAAAGATAATTTTATTTATTGTTCTTATTTAGTTTCTCATGTCCGAAATGCAACCCATTGGTCAAAAGCTCAAGTATTTCTTCTACAACTATTGGAACACGGTCACTGCCATTGCTGTTGTATCTTTCTTGTTTGGGTTTGGGATGCGGGCTTTTGGGTAAGCCTTATTGACAGATTTTATTGTATCAGAGCAAGAATATTCAATGCTTTTATAGTGTAATCACGACTGGGCGGGTAATTTTGGCATGCAATTCGGTTCTGTGGACAATGAAGATGTTAGACTACATGAGCGTCCATCCACGCTTGGGACCCTATATCACGATGGCTGGGAAGATGGTGATTATTCACATTTTTTGTGGTTTTATTGAATTTATTTGTTTTTTATTTTTATTGTACTTTTAGATTCTCAATATGACCTACATCGTGGTTATGCTGGTAGTATCCCTGTTAGCATTTGGCCTTGCTCGACAGTCCATTACGTATCCCAACGAAGATTTTCATTGGCTCTTGGTGAGTAAAATCATTGCCAGTCTCATTTTTACCTTTCCTCTTTTCTTCGCTTTTTCACGGATATGTCCTTCTACATCATTTTTCGCCTCCTTGTTTATACGATATTCTTTTGTAGGTGCGAAACATCTTCTACAAGCCATACTTCATGCTGTATGGAGAAGTATACGCCGATGAGATTGATACTT